AAATTAGTGTGCGGTACCATTTTCATTTATATAGTGCTCTAGTGAACTCAAACTATCATTAGTCATAAACCATTTAAATGACGAAATATTAGGTGTCTATTTACTTGTGACCACTCAGTGTATTTAGTACATAGTTCTCAACTTTTCAAACAGTAAACCCATGTTGTAACTGATTAGTATGGTCTCAAACAGTAAACCCTGTAGTAACTGATTATTTAGTCTCAGATAGTAAACCCATGTAGTAAGTGATTAGTAGTCTCAAACAGTAAATCCATGTTGTAACTTAATAGTATAGTCTTGAATAGTAAACCCATGCAGTAACTAATTATTATTTAGTCTCAAACAGCAAACTCATGTTGTAACTAAGTAGTATAGTCTTGAATAGTAAACCCATGCAGTAACTAATTATTATTTAGTCTCAGGCAGTAAACCCATGTTGTAACTAAATAGAATAAAGTCTTGAATAGTAAACCCATGCAGTAACTGATTAGTATAAAGTCTCAACAGTAAACCCATGTTATAACTAAATAGTATGAAGTCTTGAATAGTGAACCCATGCAATAACTTATTATTATTTAGTCTCAAGCAGTAAAGCCATGAACATTCTAATTTATAAAGCTATTATACTGGCTGTAGAAGTGAAACTTGTGTGTTACTGTATGGGACCTTCTAATATTCTTTGTTTAGTATATTACAGCTGGATGTAAATGTAACTCAGATTAGCATGATGTCCAATTCAAACATTCTTCATTACTTTAATGTATCCGGAAGTGAAATTAATGTAATTAAAATTAATATAATTACACTAGTGGGTGCAACTCGTATATCCACTTATTCCAAAAACATGTAAAAATTAAGTCTATAAACATTTTTATTTTAAAATAAAAAAAAAAGATATAAATCTTTATAAGTCCCTGCTGGACACAATGTTATAGACATGACATGCTTCAAGTAGTGAAACCAAAGTATTTCTTCTTTCTAGTACAGAAGAGGGGTGTCATGTGTCACTCTACAGTGTAATAATCCACCACTTAGTATCATGACATCAGAATAAGTGCCAACAGTCACTACCTACTAATGATATTAGAAAAGATTCCATATGTTATTGTCTAGTAACATTTTAAGAAGGGGTGCTATGTGTCACTGTATAGTATCATCTTATTAGAAGAGGTTCCATGTGTCACTGTATAGTATCATGTTATTAGAAGAGGTTCCATGTTTCATTGTTTAGTGTCATGTTATTAGAAGAGGTTCCACGTTTCACTGTTTAGTATCATGTTATTAGAAGAGGTTCCACGTGTCACTGTTTAGTGTCATGTTATTAGAAGAGGTTCCACGTGTCACTGTTTAGTGTCATGTTTTTAGAAGAGGTTACATGTGTCATTGTTTAGTATTATGTTCTTAGAAGAAGTTACATGTGTCATTGTTTAGTATCATGTTATTAGAAGAGGTTCCATGTGTCATTGTTTAGTATCATGTTATTAGAAGAGGTTCCATGTGTCATTGTTTAGTATCATGTTATTAGAAGAGGTTCCATGTGTCATTGTTTAGAATCATGTTATTAGAAGAGTTCCATGTGTCATTGTTTAGTATCATGTTATTAGAAGAGGTTCCATGTGTCATTGTTTAGTATCATGTTATTAGAAATACCATTTAAATAATTTAGGGACTGCTAGATGGTATGTACCTAATATCAGAGTTAGTTTTTATAACAAATATTATAATATATTACGATTATTTGAGTAGTATCAAGTTACTGACAACCAAAAAGAAAAAATAGGGTAAGAAGACGTTTGTCATACCTTCCATCATGGTAAACATAAATGAGTAATATTTTCATGAAATATATAGATTATCAAATAATCTTTACACCTCAACTAAAGTTATTGATGAATTGGAAGAAAAAAGTTTAACTTATGGATAAATGTAGAATATATAACATTTCACATAGTAATGGTTTAAATTATATCGAACAGATGTGTAAACATTTTAAATAAGAGAACATAAAAATGCAGTTGATAAATTAGAAAGGGGTGATTCAGTTTTAACAGAACATGTGGCTAACTATTCATGTAAGTCACTGAATGGGACAACATGAAATCACTTAAGCAGGTGAATTGAAAAAAAAAATTAAATATAAGAGAATCTTTAGAAATTGTTAAAAATAATACGAGTTTGAATGGAGATTTAGGCCCTGGTGCCATGGAAGTGAATTTCTGGAATTCGATTTTATAAATGGTGTCACTGTACAATATATTAATTGTACACTACATTTACTCAAGTACATAAATGAACCTCAAATGTCCTTCTTAGTCTCTTGAAGATTGTGCATCATGTTGTCCATCAAACGATGCAGATCATCCTTTAATTTTTTTTACATTATACAAATATAAAATATATTTATTGTGCACTTGACACATTGGTGTCAGGATTTTTATTTTTATGGAAAATATGTATGTGTGCTGTCAGCCTAATATATTATTATAATACATTCTCAATGGAAACCCAATGATGGGCTGTTGCCAGAAATGTTGTTTTCCTGTTTACCAATAAAATGATTTTAATTTGGCAAGTTTTTCACCATTACTATATTTTCTGTTTTGTTATTTCCTCACCTATTACTAGCCTAATGTATTATTTCATATCACAAATCCTGAATTTCTTCTATTAAGAACAAGAAAGAGGAGCTTGTGTTAACTTTTCATCATCATGTTAAAATATAATGTCCAAAGTTCATCTCCCGACTATTTCCCTTTAAGTTTCTTTTTTTGCACACAAGTCGAAAAATTCAAAGCTAAAACCAGCAAGTAACTTAGTAATAGTCGTTTCTCATGATCTTGAAAACTGAGTAAAAATATAATCACCACGTCTGTAATATTTCCTCATTTTCCTTAAGATCTATATTTTTTTTATTGTGCAAAATCCTTGAAGCACATTTCATTTGTGGTACACTAACACAGCATTCAAGTGTTATTCAAACTTTAGATTATTAATAAACTTGTATAACAATATCATGTTCTACATAACCTAGAAATGTGAATTTTTAAAAACAAGTATATTTTTCTTTCCCACAATCAAGCTGTTTTTGGTATCCTTTACTTGCCTACCTACACCCTTCATCTTCAGTGCTTCATGCTGCTAATTCCAGTTGCCTGGCTTATTGAGGGATAGCCCTTGTCTCTGGGTTACCTTCTGTAAAAACTACTTTTCTGATATATGATTGTGAGCAGTAAAAATTGTGTACATTTCCTTTAACCATCTTTCCCAAAGAACAAACACACACTTGCTGTTCATCTGTCTTTTCTAAGAACAATAAATTTTCACAGCTATAAAAAACAAATGACAACTAAGAAGTAATCAGTATGAAAATAAAAAGTCAGGAGCATCCTGGTGAAGGCAGTTTCCCTTAGATGTTTCTGGCAGAAAAATCAAGAATTTGTATTGTTGAATTATATGAATCAATATTTCCATGTTTTTCAAGTAAAGTCGTTTTTCAAGTAATTTTTCCATTGACATTTTTAATATAGAGGGCAATTTATAGTACTATAAAAATCCACTTTTGAACTGTTTATATTTAGACTTTTGTTGAGTTCGTGGAAGATATTGAAACCAAAAAAAACTGTAATAGAAAGTAACAAAATTCTATGCACATACTGGTGACACAGTGCACATTTAACACAAATGTGTGCGTACAGATGAGTACAGATGACGTAGCAGTTATTGTATGTTTTGGCATCATTGTGTGCAAACTGGCATTTCAGTGCACAAATTGAATATATTGCTATTGTAATGCAGGTTACAGTATGTGTAATGCGAGTAGAGCTCACTGTGGCTTGATGGAACATTAAGTGTAAAAAACATATGAGTGAAATTGAATTTGGTGCACTTTATTGCCCATGATATATTTATGTTCACATGTGAAAAGCCAGGTGGCGCTAATATAGGCCCCTAGTGGCTTTGTAGGTAACTATAAAATGTGTAATATCAGACATTGAAATTAAACTTTATGTTGTAACGTGTTTATTGCATGATTTGAGAATTTACATTCGACATAAAGTGTGATACACTTTGATTGCATTACTTCTGATCAGGATATATTAAGTTAAAGTTTGTACTCACAGAGTAGCTTCTTAGTAACAAAAATAAAACTTTTTCAAGCAGAGCTTTTACTTTTTCTTTTCAAGCTAAATGTAATTAATTCAGAAAATGATGATACCTAAGGTTATCTACTTACAATGACTATAACTAGAACACATCTGTCTGCTTGGGTCATTTCATTGGTCAAAGTTATGGAAATGCCTTTCAATACAGTCAACAAAAACACACCAGCCACTGAAAGCCGATGTTCTATAATGAGTTCTTTAAATGACATAAAATAAAAATTAAAATATTTCCCCAGTTACAAAGGTTAACTTCCTGAGGAACATAAGAAAGTTGGGAAGTAATTCAATACTTTGTCAAGGCTGAATAGTTTTATGGCTTTCAATTAGATCATTAAAAAATATAGGAATGAAAAATTTATGAATACAATATATTTCTGGTTTATGTGTAAGGTTTCTTTATTCCACAGGATTTAGTGTACAAAACTTTCATACATTTGTGTACATGTCTACATACTTTTTTTTATTATGTCATGTAATAATTCTGAACTAATTAATACATACGTTACATTTATACATTAATTCATTGTTCCACAAAAATGGGCTTTTAGATTAAAACTGGTTAATAAATTATATTATAGGCTACTTTTCTAAAGGCCAACAATGTGTAGAAAGCTGGTAAATAAAAACCTCAGTCTTTTTTCTCTCACATTAAATATCCTAAGTTAACCATATGATGAATAATTTTCAAATAGTACAAACACTGGCATCTGTTCTATAAACATCCTCAGGCAGTTTTCTAATTAAACAAAAAACATACATCAAAAAATGAATAAACCTTAAAGATTTTCTAAGTTTTCAAATGTTATCCCAACATGGTTGGTAAAAACCCACCACACAACTTCTATTTTCTTACTATATATATACTTCCTTTCTCCCTTAAAAAAACAAAACAAGTTAGTGAATATAAATAAATTCATTAAGCCTTATTACTCAACTGTTGTATGTCTACTATCACTCCTTTCTCAGTAAACATTTGTGAACTTTTTGCAATTTTACCTCGTGTATGATACAAAATAGCTTTTTTTTCTGTCACCATTATATAAAGATCACATATTTCTTTAAAGTCAACACCACGTATGACAACTGTTATGTTTTAGGCTAAAATAATTATTCCCTTGATTACATTGCTGACAATTCTGGTAAACTTTAGCAGGGAGTCACATTATGCTGTTTTACAATACTCATGAACAGAAGTAAAATAAAATTCTTACAATTTTTACGATGACCAGTTTAAAAAAAAGACAGTTTTTTTTTATATGAACCACCTTTTCATGCATCTGTGGAAAACATGTTTCTGATCTACAGCAAGAGCATGATTAATAGCTAATAAAGTTAGTTATCCAATCCAAAGGCTTGCGTGAGCTAAGAGGAGACTTGACTGAAGATGGAAGAAGTCGCCAACAGCCCCACAGAGCTAAACTCAAAGCAGAGATCTTCAAGGTACGTCGAATCACCTTGGAAGTAAAAGATGGTTTGGGAACTCTTAGGGGTAAAAAAAAAATATAATTAATGACAGTTTAATTACTTGTAACCAATGTCTAATAAAAACATCATGTAAATGTAATCTAATATACATTTTCTACTAGAAGAGTAGTTATTTAAGCAGGGAGAAACTTAATTTCATATTAACATTTCCATTTAGTCCAACTCTGATTTTTCTTATGCGAAAAGAAATGAACATGGGATAATGAACAAAATAAATTAAGCCTCTACATCTTCTTTTCTTCATCAAAATTCACATTTCGGTGACAAAAAGAACTTAATAAATAAATAAATAATGCAGTTGTCAAAACATTTGTTCCTAATGAAGTGGTTTTTCATAAGAACTTTTGGAAATTCATTAGTATACATAAAGGAGGTTTTGTACATGCATTTAATGTATAATGGATGTAAGGAAATGGGGGTGATGATCATGATGATAGAAAAAAAGTACTACATGAACTTTTCTTTACAACTGTGGTATTTAATGATAATTTTACTTCCTGATAAAATTTAAATTGAAACAGAGGAATTGGAAGGACCAGGAAATGTAGAAAGCAACCACACAATACTATGTTTCAAAAACAGAATTTTTAATTTAACTAAAAGATAAAAAAGTTTAAAATAGCAATGAGAGTAAATGTAAACAGGAACAACCAGGCCCATATGACAAGGTAGGGCCAACATGGCCAGGTGGTTAAGGAGCTTGACTCGCAATCTGTGGGTCGTGGGTTTGAATCCAAGTCACACCAAACATACTTGCCTTTTCAGCCGTGGGGGCATTATAATGTGAAGGTCAATCCCACTATTCATTATACGGTAATGGTAAATATCCTCTGTTCCTTTTGTCAAAGTGCACTCAGGCTGATTCAATTACTTTAGAACAACGCTTTGATGGAATAATTCTTCTTATCTCTTGTTAGTCTTACCCTAACATATTAAATGTTAGGCCTATGTCAGTCGTTAAGCTTATCACATCTACAGTAGTTTACTTCATGCTGAACTTTTCCTTGGCCTATAATTTTACTTTTTTCTGCTATTATCTGTCTGTCTCACGCTATTTATATATTTATCCCTCAATTGTCTGTCCACCTTCTATATTCTCAATGTATCGCACATGACGTTTAATAGTCTCAACATCAATGAATTATTAACAAAACTTCCTACAATCTCCTAGCGCAGATAGCCCTCGCGTAGCTTTGTACAAAATTCAAAAACAAACAAACATGAGAAGGTGCAAGCACTAAATTACAAGAGACTGAAGTTTAATGAACTTAAACTTACATGTAGTCATTAAAATAATTCATTTACACTTAACAGTCTATGATAACAATACTCAGTTTTTGTCTGTCCTGGAAATGCATATGCACTTTATTATCAAAATGCACATGCACTTCATTTCAATTAACTTAAATATACTTTAGTAGACATTTTACACAAAAACACATTAAAAGTTTTTAAAAAGATCTAATGCTAGCTCATAAAATAACTTTATAAGTTTATTTAGTGATAAAGTGGACTTACAGATTTCAGTGTCTACAATTAGAGCTCTTTTATATTATTCAAGAAATCCTGTGTTTAAAGAAGCACTGTTGTAATAAAGATACTAATTTGCCCACAAATGTTTTGTGGGTCTCTGCAAAAATTATAAATCAAAATGGGAAAGGTTTTGTCCCCAAAGTACCAAGAGAATCAAAAGTAGTGTGTGTGTCTATATATATATAGAAAACTTTGACTGGATAATGACCTGAGCAACATCAATGGGATGGATGTCATGATACAGATACGCTGTAGGCATGCAAAAAATTACTTCAATGCACACTTTGACATGTACAGATTTCAGTACACTTCTAATTATATTACGTGCCACAAAAGTCAGATTCCCTAACAGGAGATAGTACAACGTAATATACAGGCTAGGTCCTTATTCAAAATTAGCTGCAACCCACAAAACATTTTCAGTAGTTTCATGCTCTTCTACTTAATCAAAAATCTGGTTTTTTGTATACATAAAAAAAATTGTAGTTTTACTAAAACTTGCCAAATTTTGTGAAGATACACAAACATATTAAAAGTTATAGCATGGAAACTCGTGTTCACTTTGGGGTTATAAACTCAGTTGAATTGGCTGAACCCACAGCGAGAGGGTTAAGGCTCAGGTGCACATAATTAAAAGTTGGTGTAGTATAGTCTTACCTCTCTAGAGACAGTTAAAACTTGGGGTGTGGTATATTTTAAATATTCCTACATGTTATAATTTCAGGGATAAACTGCTGAAATTGAGGACACTTCCAATATTTATATAAATAATATGTTTGCATTTGTGTGTCCAGAATTTTCAAACAGCTTAAATGAAGTGTGTGAAAATGATAGAAGAAGGAAAATTCAGGCTTTTTACTAAACATCTGCTCATGAGTACATGGATTCAGAGTGTTGACTTCTCCAAATGCAGTAATTTTCATGTTAAGATCAAGAATACTTTTCTTCACCTGAAAATTGTCAAATTTCATTTGTGTAATCTCTAAAACCGCCTAAATAAATATCAAACTTTTTTTCTCAGTAAAACTTTATATTTCATCTGTTATTTTTTATACTCTAACTCTGTATGCATTTGGTCAATTTGACCAACCTTGTAACTACCATAAAAAACAAATCTAAATTATCCCCTTCTCCTTAAAGAATGACCTTCAAATTGTAACAGGAAAATACAATCATTTATCCTAAACAGCCTAAGGCTTGTAACAATAAACATCTGTTTATACTTAAATTTTGTTTTATTGTCCTTTGGCCCTTGTCTAGCTAATAATCCTACCACACAATTTATAAATCACTCAGGAAACTCATAGTTCCAGTTACTGTATTGAATTATGTAATGCACCAGCTGTTTACGAGCATACCTCGTGAATAATTATTTTTATTATTTTTCATTGTCTTACCTAACCTACTTGTATAACCTAGTAACTTTTTAATTTTTACATTTTAGTTACTTTTAAAATAATAAAGAATATACATGAAGAACAAAAAATACGGTACTTACCTGTGTCTTCTTATCTTTTTGTTGTCAACTGTCATTGAAAGTTAAGCCTACTTTTTATTTGTATTAATGATACTAGTAAACTAAATAATTTTTATTTAATTAAATAATGCACATAAGAACACAGAATAATAACACATACAAAGAAAATAATGTCCTATAATTATCCTACAACTGGCTTTCTAACTATACAATAAGAACTTATAAAAATTTAACTAAGCTTGTTGATGTGAATACTGCAGGAGAAATTTTTCAAACTGGAGGTGAAATAGACAATACTCTGTACAAAAAACAAGATAATATAATACATCATTTGATAGATTAAAACTCTGGCTTTCTAGTGGTTGTAAATAGTATAGTATAAAACATCAGAGAGGACTGTTGGCAATTTCTGAAAGAGATGATGCGACAGGTGTGATTTTCTAGATTATGGCTCTGTAAACAAACAAGGTTGAAGGTTGTCAGAATCATGCTTTGCCTTAGTAATATCTTTATTATAATGAGTAATTTAGATTAAATTTCATACTTCTAAGAGGGACAGTAAATAAATTAGAGATGAGGGAATACCTAGCAAAAAAATGTCAAGTGTCTCATACTAGGGGAGAATGAGGATTTTTTAAACTTTTCCTTATAAAATTAAGAACTTAAAACTTGTATAATAAAGTAGTTTAATTAA